CAGCACAATTGCACATGCAGGGAGAGCAAGAATGATTGCATTGTGAACAAAACCAAAATAAATATATAAGGAAAAGGTTCTATTGATGTGAAACTGAATAAGCTGTGCATCACAGATCCCATACTGCATGCTAAACAACAAAACTCTGTACACAACACGTACACCAACTGGACAACAGCCAGGACACATCACTCATTACACTTGTAAACATGTAAACAGAACCATAACGAACAATTCACAAACCAATTAAATAAAACAAACAAAAAAAACAAAACATAATTGCTTTACAAGGCGCAATGCCCATGCAGGGAGAACAAGAAACACAATTTGCATTGTTATCATACCAAAAATAAAGGTAAAAAAAATAAAAAAGATTCTATTTATATGAACCTGAATAAACTGTACTTATTCGTATTTGGATATGAGAGTATCTCTGTAGGCTTTAACAAAGGTTTCAAGCATAAAGACATTGACTTTCAAAGGAAGTGTAGCCCATAATTAGTACTACTGTAACGTAGCCTACTGACTGGCATATGAAGAGGGCACCTTACATGTAAGGTGTTTTTCCTATATGTCTTTAGGGATGTCTACTGATAGAATGTTATCATATAAATCCATGCTAGGATAGCTCCTCTTCATTTTAAATGCATAATCTTTGCAAAATATGATTATTCTCGGGGGATATTGCGCGTGCGCGAGCACCGTTACAGGCGTACAGTTTGGACTAAAGAAAACTGCATAATATAACTTGCTGTGGGAGAGAGGAGCAAGATGCTGAGGAAAAGCGACAGGGAAGATAGCTGAGGGGTGGTAGAAGAAGAATTAGGTTGAGCGAGAAACAGGGGAGACAATAATTATGGGAAGTATGGGAGGGGTGAAGTAGCCGTTTTCCACCCTACAAGCTAGGGCGCACTCCTAATTATAAACACAGGTGTACCGTAAACAATTAATTACATAATTCTATGTTCAGATCCCCCCTAACCATATTAAATGCATATTCATCACAAAATATAGCTCCTCTGGTAAGATATTGCGCATGCGTCAACACACTAACGTAGCCAGATTATGTACAGACTGGTATATAAAGTGGGTACCTTACATGCAAGGTCTTTTTCCTATATGTCTTTGGGGATGTCTACTGATAGAATGTTATTATATAAATCCATGCTAGGATAGCTCCTCTTCATTTTAAATGCCTAATCTATGCAAAATATAATTCTTCTCGGGAGATATTGCGCGTACGCGAGTGCCGTTACAGGCGTACAGTTCGGACTAAAGAAAGCTGCGTAATATAGCTTGCTGTGGGAGAGAGGGGCAATAGACAGAGGAAAAGCGACAGGGAAGATAGCTGAGGGGTGGTAAAAGAAGAATTCGGCTGAGCGAAGGACAGCGGAGACAATATGGGAAGTACGGGTGCAAAACGGCTACTTCACCCCTTATGGATTTATATGATACCATTCTATCAATAGACATCCCTTAAGAAATAGGAAGAAGACCTTGCATGTAAGACACCCACTTCATATGCCAGTCTGTACATAATCTGGCTACGTTAGTGTGTTGACGCATGCGCAATATATTACCAGAGGAGCTATATTTTGTGATGGATATGCATTTAATATGGTTAGGGGGTATCTGAACATAGAATTATGTAATTAATTGTTAACGGTACACCTGTGTTTATAATTAGGAGAGCGCCCTAGCTTGTAGGGCTAGGATAGCTCCTCTTCATTTTAAATGCATAATCTTTGCAAAATATGATTCTTCTCGGGGGATATTGCGCGTGCGCGAGCACTGTTACAGAAGTACAGTCCGGACAAAGAAAACGGCATAATATAGCTTGCTGTGGGAGAGAGGGGCAAGAAACTGAGGAAAAGCGACAGTGACGATAGCTGAGGGGCGGTAGAAAAAGAATTAGGCTGAGCGAGGGACAGGGGAGATAATATGGGAAGTATGGTAGGGGTGAAGTAGCCGTTTTGCACCCTACAGGCTAGGGCGTTCTCCTGACCATAAACACAGGTGTACTGATAACAATTAAATATATAACTCTATGCTGAGATACCCCCTAACCATATTGAATGCATATTCATCACAAAATATAGCTCCTCTCGTAGGATATTGCGCATGCGTCAACACACTAACATGGCCAAATTATGTACTGACTGGTATATGCAGTGGGTACCTTACATGCAAGGTCTTCTTCCTATTTCTTAAGCGATGTCTACTGATAAAATGTTATCATATAAATCCATGCTAGGATAGCTCCTCTTTATTTTAAATGCATAATCTTTGCAAAATATGATTCTTCTCGGGGGATATTGCGCGTGCGCGAGCACTGTTACAGGAGTACAGTCCGGACAAAGAAAACTGCATAATATAGCTTGCTGTGGGAGAGAGGGGCAAGAGACTGAGGAAAAGCGACAGTGACGATAGCTGAGGGGCGGTAGAAAAATAATTAGGCTGAGCGAAGGACAGGGGAGATAATATGGGAAGTACGGGAGGGGTGAAGTAGCCGTTTTGCACCCTACAAGCTAGGGCGCTCTCCTAATTATAAACACAGGTGTACTGTTAACAATTAATTACATGAGTCTTTGCTGAGATACCTCCTAACCATATTGAATGCATATTCATCACAAAATATAGCTTCTCTGGTAAGATATTGCGCATGCGTCAACACACTAACGTAGCCAGATTATGTACTGACTGGCATATGCAGTGGGTACCTTACATGCAAGGTCTTCTTCCTATTTCATAAGAGATGTCTATTGATAGAATGTTATCATATAAATCCATGCTAGGATAGATCCTCTTCATTTTAAATGCATAATCTTTTCAAAATATGATTTTTTCTTGGGAGATATTGCGCATGCGCGAGCACCGTTACAGGCGTACAGTTCGGACTAAAGCAAACTGCATAATATAGCTTGCTGTAGGAGAGAAGGGCAAGCGACTAAGGAAAAGCGGCAGGGAAAATAGCTGAGGGGCGGTAGAAAAATAATTAGGCTGAACGAGGGACAGGGGAGACATTATGGGAAGTACGGGAGGGGTGAAGTAGCCGTTTTGCACCCTACAGGCTAGGGCGCTCTCCTAATTATAAACACAGGTGTATCGATAACAATTAATTCCATAAATCTATGCTGATATCCCCCCTAACCATATTAAATGCAACATATATAATTTATGCACTATATATAACATGTTGCCATGAAGAAGTACAACTAATATAAATAAAGAAATAAATAGAAAATAATTGAACGAATAAATAAACGAATATACGACGAATAACGAATAAACGACTATTGTCCAGTACACC